TCTCTAGCTGTTTGATGTTCTTGTCAGTGGCCCTTCAAAGGTCTGAGTAGTATAAGTTCGGAGGCCAGCATCTGGATTAGAACTTCTAACAGTAGACATCCTGGGTGATTCATTTTTACCTGGGATGCTGCCTGAGTTCAAGCTCCTGGGAGTCCCTTTTTCTCTCAGTTTTCTGGGGTTGGGTGCAGAGCTGCCACCTGTGACCTGCTCTATGCTCGGGCCCAGACCAGAAGTCTCGAGGTTCCCTTCTTTCAGGTGACTCAAACTTGTGTCAGGTTGACATAAGACTAGCCCAGTACGCCCTCTCACACTTTAAGTGGTGGCCAAGAATTCAATCATATAATCTATTTATCTGTTTTCATGGTGTTGGATACTCATGTGATTTCCAGATTTTAGTATCTGAAATGATGCTGCAACAATCTCCCTTCTCTTTGGATTGTAAACTTTTGTAGCTGGGGCTAGCTGATACAGTTATGACTCATATATTTGAGGAGAAAATATTGAGTTTTTCTTTTTCTGGGCCTTAGAATTAGTGTTTTTCTCGCCATCAAATACTTCTTACAGGTGGGGCGGTGGTGGCGCACGCCTTTAATCCCAGCACTTGGGAGGTAGAGGCAGAGGCAGGCAGATTTCTGAGTTCGAGGCCAGCCTGGTCTACAGAGTGAGTTCCAGGACAGCCCAGGATATACAGAGAAACCCTGTCTCGAAAAACCAAAAACCAAATACTTCTTACAAACACTCTGCAAACCTGAGTGCTATAAGCAAAAACATCATCTCTGATTTCACTCTTGGAAGGAGGATTAATTCTACCAAAACAAAGGTGAGTATCTAGCAGGCACATGGGTACACTGTGTTCAGTAACGCTTTGGTGGTGATGCCTCTGAAGGCACTTCACCAGGCCAAGATTCATTTCCTTCCTCTTCAAATACAGCGCATTGCCAGCAGTAGGCGCACATTCTTCTGCGCACTGGTAAATACTCATCAGGGCGTGGCAGTCCAGGGCTGCCTGCAGTTTCCTTTCAGACAGCCTTTGAGACAGTCTGTGCTTTGCTGTACATTCTTCTGTGCTGGTGCCTGGGCATGGTTCTGGAATGCAAGGGCGCCATCTTGTGGAACTTTCGTGTTGAATTCTTTTTCTCTGAAAGCGACTGCAGAGATAATTCCAAGTGATTCGTGCAATAATTTTTTTGTCTTTGTCTCATTTACCATCTGGCACTGACGTGGTTGTACTGTCAATTTGCACTCTACATTTTGAGAACATGCATTCTTTCTTATGATTCTTAATGTGCCTACATTAAAAATAATTTCAATTAAAACATTTTTACTTATTATTTATTTATTTATTTATTTTCTGTATGGCTGCAAAGGCCATGTGGAGGTTACAAGGCAACTTTTGGGATTTAAGTTCTTTCTTTCCAATATGTGGGTCCCGAGGATTGAAATCAGGTCCTCAGCCTTGGCAGCAAGAGCCTTTAGTCACTGAACCATCTCTGGGCTCCTGAAGTTTTATTTATTTTTGAGACAAGGCCTCTCTATGTAGTCCTGGCTGTCCTGGAGCTATGTAGACCAGGATGGCCTTGAACTCAAAGAGATCCATAGTGCATATGTATGTGGCAGTCAGAGGACACTTCCCACCAGGTGGGTTCCAGGGCTCCAACTCAGATTGTCAGGCTTGGTGGCAAGCATCTTTATCTGTTGAGCCATGTCAGTAGCCCTGCTTGCTGATTTGAATAAATTATGGTTGCTATAGGTCTCACTTCCTATGTCTTCGGCTTACTGTATGGACACACATCCTGCTGTTCAGTTCTAACTCAGTGCCATCTTCCTTGGCACAATTTATTTCCTTAGTGGTGGACACTGATGCAGGGAGTCCTGACAGGAAGGCCCCTGGAGCCACCCTCTGCACATTAGCATGCTTCTCTGAGGGCATCTGTGCAGGAGGCAGGCTTGCTCTAAGTTTCCTTAAGATTGCCAGTGTGTAGCCAACAGACACAGGGATCTTGATTTCCTGAGTCCATGCTAACACTCATAGATCATATTCTATTTTTTGCCAATCTGATAAGTATGGATTGGTGTCTTAATGTGTATGTTGCTCACTAATGAGCTCAGAACTTTCTTGAGGACGTAGGTTAATCTTTGTGCTCTTTCCCGTCTAAAGGTGAATGTGGTCATCAGCTGCTTTCCCTTTCCCTCCCTCTTCCTACTCTTTCTCCTCCCCCTCCTCAACTCTGGTTTCTATCCCTCCATTCCTGCTGCTCCTCCCTGTTTCTCTTCCCCTCCCTCTCCTTTCTGACATAGTGTCTTACTTTTGCGCAGGTTTGCCTCAAATCCTTGAATGCAAGTGTATCTTCTCCCCGGCTCCCCACATAGGTGAGAGATTATATGAGCCTCCGACTGTGCCTAGCCTCTTTCTTTGTTTCTCTATCAAGTTGTTAGATATTCTAGTGTTTCAGAAATGTTAATTTATCTGGGAGCATGTTTTCAATATAATTGTGCCTGAACTACTGGTAACATGTTATTTTATTATTATTATTATTATTATTATTATTATTTTTGGTTATTTTATTATTTTTTGCAATTCATTTGTATTAGAGTTTTATCTTAAAAAAATAAATGTGTAGCATGAGCCCTTAATCCCAGCACCTGGGAGGCAGAGGCAGGTAGATCTCTGTGAAACTCAAGCCAGCCTAGTCAAGATGCTGAGTTCTAGGACAGTCAAAACTACCTAGTGAGACCCTGTCTGGAAAAAAAAAAACCAAACACATATGTAGGAGCCAGTTCTCTCCTTCACTTGAGGTTAAAAGATCTCTGTCTCTCATAAGTTACAGATGTGAAATCCTGTCTTCGCCTCCCTCCCGTCTCAGGGAGGACTGCTGACATTACAGAGATGAGTCACCATATCCAGTCCTCTATGTGGTTCCAGAGAGTAAACCCATGGCATCAAGTCTCTGGAGCAAATGCATTTACCTGCTAAGCTGCCTCACTTGTTCCTGTCCTTAGGATCTTAAATGTCCCTCCAAAGACTCACACATTTAAAGTTTGGTCATTCTGGGCGGTGGTGGCACACGCCTTTAATCCCAGCACTTGGGAGGCAGAGGCAGACAGATTTCTGAGTTCGAGGCCAGCCTGGAACTCTACAGAGTGAGTTCCAGGATAGCCAAGGGCTACACAGAGAAACCCTGCCTTGAAAAACCAAAAAAAAAAAAAAAGTTTGGTCATCATCTTGGTGCTGTTAGGATGCAGTGAAGCCTTTAGAAGCTTCCTTCATGATGGACTATGATCTGCAGGTCATGGAAGCTGAATTCAACTCTTTCCTCTCCAAGTTGATTTCAGTCATGTTGTTTGTTACAGCACAGGAAACAAACTAGAAGAGAGATTGGTACCAGAATCATGAAGTACTGTTCTCACAGATCTGACCATGCTGTTTTTGGAAGGACTGTGGAAGGAATTTGGGGTTTTGAGCTAGAAAACAATTCAGTCCTCAGAGCTCAGTTAGCTGTCATGGGAGCTTGGAAGATAAGAATATGGAGGGCAGTGCAGACAACAGAGGCCTGCTTGTGAAGTTCCAGAGGGAGGCAAAGACCTTATAGAGTCATCTTTGTGACATTTTGAATTAAGAATCAAGGGTTTCTAATTAGGTGGAGCTTCGATTAGTAAGAGACCAGCACCACTGAGGTGTAATCTCGGAGGTGTTTCCTCAGGGTCAGCACACAAAAGTTTGGTTCAGAAAGGGGCCAAAGCTGCATCTCAAGCTGGGGGCACAACTTCAGTCTTCCATGGAGCACCGGTTTTTGTGGCACAGAGCTGCAGGGCAGAGGTGTCTACGGAGAGACTTGGCACCATGAGAAGCCAGGGTGCCATCATGTCTTCTTGGATGCATGGTTCCACTTATACAACTTCAAAGAATTATCTGTCCACGTCGTTTGCATTTTGCTTGTGTATGCATGACAAGTTCTTGCTGCCCTCTAACTGGTGGTTTTCCTGCCTCTGTCTCCCAGGTTCTGGGGTTACTGGTATAAGCTAGCATGCCTGCTTTAAACAGTTGTTAGTACTAAGTTGTAGGAATTGTATTTTCTAAATGTTAGTCCTCCTTGGCTCTATGATTTGTAACCATTTCCTCTATTCTAAGAATCATGGTTTCTCTTGCTTGCTAGTGTCTTTTGAGCACAAGTCCTAACTCTGAGGAAGATCCCTTTGCATCATTTTTATTGTTTTCTATTGTCTTTTCTTGTGCTTTTGCCATTGTATCTAAGACAACAGAAATAGTCCCAGTGTCATGAAGCTTTCTGTTTTCTTCCATTTAGTGCACTGATGCATTTGGAGTTGATTTTTTTTGCATATGGTAAAAGGTAAGGGTTCAACCTCACTCTTTGTCATGTGGCTATCTAGTTTTCCTAGCAAAATTTGTTGGAAAAAACAGTGGTTTCTTTATTTAATGTTCTGGGCAGCCTTGTTGAAAATTATCTGACCACATCTGCGAGGAGTCTCTACTGTAGTACATTGGTCTTGCAGGTGTGTCCAACCTTTTGGTATTGAGATTCATCACTGTGATGTCTTTAGTCTCCGCACTTGGGAGACAGGGGCAGATGTATCTCTGTGAATTCAATGGAGATCCTGGTCTAATATAGTGAGACCCTCTTTCAAAACAACCCAAGACCCAAACTACAAGAAGCCTCCCCCCACCCCACAAATCTCATAATGTTTTATGATTTTTGGGTTGTTGTGACACTGTTTCCATGGAGACATGGGCAAACATTTCACCAGATAAAGGACAGGGTGCTGGAGAGATGGTTTAAAAACTTAAAGCACTTGCTATTCTTGCAAAGGACCTGGGTTTGGTTCCTAGCACCCACACAGTGTCTAACCATCCATAGGTACATACAAGGTGTACATACATATGTGTAGGTAAGACACTTGTACACATAAAATAAATAAATCTGAAAAAAAAGAATGGACGACAGACCAAAGTATCAATATCAATATCAAAGTATACCAAAGTATCGAGTTTAGCTTGGTGAACTAATGGGTTTATTTTGATTACTTCCGACACATGAGGTTATTTACAGGAGCAGGGGCTTCCACAGACACTTGTGCCCACCCGTATACACATACATAAACATGTACATACATCTCCATATAACATTATTTCATATTTATTTTATTGTAAACTACTTTATAGTGCCATATTGAATGTTTCCCAAACCCAAGATACCTTACTCTATGAAGCCTTGATATTATGATCACTGTATGTGTGTGAATGTGTGTATCTGTGTGTGCACGAGTGGCTGGAGATGGAATTCAACCTGCTGCTTGTTAGGAAACTATGGTACCCAGCTGTGTCCTATGCTGGCTGAGCCCTCTCACCTGGATACTGTATTTATATTTCAAAAGCATGGAACATTTAAAAAGAACTAATTTTTTTGTATCAACGTAAATACTTTATCCTGCTTCCAGACAGGACACTGTCACTCACATGCTATTTTCAAGGCAGGGAGCAAAGAAACCCTGGAGCGAGTGTCTAACTGCAGCTACTCCCTAGGCCACTTGTCTTGGGAATGAAGTCCCTTCCCTGATGGACTGGTTTAGCCCTCCAGAAAGTACACTTTGCACTCAGGCCTTTAAAAGAGCAGTGTGTGTTTTCATAAAGGAATAGTTTGTGTAATGAGAATTCACCAAGAAATTACTGAGTCAGAGCTGGTGAGATGGTTATATCAGGTAAAGGCACTTGATGCCAAAGCTCATGACCTGAGTTCAAACTCTGGGACTCCCATGGTAGACCAGAGAACCGGGTCCCACAGGTTGGTCTCGGACTTCCCACTGTGGCACATACTTATTCACCTCCCCCAATCCCTCCAAAATTCCCAAATCAGAAAATGAGTACATGGCATCTTTACACTTCAAAGCAACTCAATGAAGACGTATAGAAAACGAGCTAATTCTTTGAAAAGCATACATGTGGCATCTTGAGCTCTCGTATCGCGTCCCCTCAGAAGGGGCCCTTGCCAGCCTGTCCCCAGGCCTCCTTTACCCCCTTGATGCTCTCCTTCTTCACACACTTCCAGTATTCCTGCACACTCTGCTGCTGTGATGCCTGTGATAGGAGAGAAAGATCAGCAGTCATTGGTGTTCTGGCTCGGCACGGCTCTGTGCCCCTGACAGTCCTGTGTGTCACCTTCCCACACTTCTCTGAAGAATGCTGAAGGTGGCCTATGCTGCCGAATGCATGTAATGAAAACTGTGTTATTAATTTCCCTCAGATTACATGTGCTGTGGGAATTTTTATAGATGATTTTTTTCTAAGTTGTTATGAACACATGCACCACATTTGATTACCCCTCTTTCCTGTCTCTCTTCCTAACTCCCTACTATCTGTGTAGATGCTAATGGAAACACAATTCTGGGCTTTGCTTGTCCCTCAGTCAGAGCCCAGCACATGACTGTGAGCAGCCATGGTGTGTGCTGAGAGTTCTGCGAGCTTTCTATGTAGTTCCCAATGTAGCTATTGTTGGTAGAATCTATTAGTTTACTTAGTTATATAGATGAGGTATCTGAGGCACAGCAAAACTAAGTGGATTTTCAATATTCATTAATTAATACTCAGGAGAGCAGGATTTGAACCTGGAGATGGGTATGGAGTCCAAGGTCAGGTCCAAAGTCAGACCCAAGGTTAGATCCAAAGTCAGATCCTAGGCCGATTTCTGAATTTAAATTCAGATTTTTGTATGTGTATGTGTGCACATGAATATACATGTTTGTGTGTATGCATGTATGTCCAAAGTGTATGTGCATGCATGTGCACAAATATGTACAGTGACAGAGGTGGGAGGACAGTCTTGGGTGTCATTTTCTGGCCTGAAGTTCAGAAAGCAGGCTAGTCTGGCTAGCTGGCAACCCCACAGCTCCACTGTCTCTGTCTCCCCAGATCTGAGACTCGAACCACTGCCACCAAGCACATGCCGCCATGCCTAGCATATGCATGAGGCCTGGGGGTTGAACCCAGGTCCTCACTAACTGACGTTTCCCCAGACTCAGGTTATTTTTAAAGCAAAGAAAATACTAAATATCATTCTTTGTAAAAGAAAATTCAGTATTTTTGTTGTAGTTTATAATCTCTGTATAAATGATTAAGATTCCACTTAACATATTACATTTGCTCTAATTCTAGGTTTAATATCACTGTTGCTGGCATGTTAAAAAATACAGCTTAAAAAATAAAACAAAACTCAAGATGTTTTACCCATAAACCTCGATGCATCCTGTTTTTCAGTACCCCAAGAAACTCTCCGTGGCTGAGGCACTCGTCCCCATCCAGGTCAAAGATCTTAAAGACAGTGTCCAGAAGGTTGTCTGAGAGCTCTTGGCCAGTCGCCACCTTCACAGCTCTCTTGAACTCCGCTAAAAAGCAAAACAAGAAACTGTCAATCACCCAGGTGATTCAGTTCAAGTGGATCTAATCCACACTTCCATTATCGAGAAGTAAACACAAAAATACCCACAGGAGCGTATTCAAATCCCGCATTCAGCTAAGACACACCACGAAAGCAAAGGGAGTCATTTCACCATAATCATGGCTCCTAGTAACATGGTCAATCCCGCTTCCTTCCCCCTTCTTGAGAACAAGAAAATAAAAGCAAATAAAGTAACTCTGGAGTAAGTGAATTGAGAACAACCAAGAGGCATTATCTTACTGCTAACTATCTCCTGATCACCACCATCTACTGAATAGTGAAACTACTTACAGACAATAGAAATAAAATGATTCGTATCTTACCCAGCCTCACAGGTCGATGAGCTAAACTAAACATTTGCATGGCGATAGCAAAGTCTTCCAAATGTGTTGTAAAACGGCAAAAGGACTTGAACTCATCCAGACTAATGCTCTAATAAAAATAAAAGTTTTAAAATTACAATTTTATATATATATCAAAATGGTATTAGTGGTAAGTCTTCTATCCTAAAGCTTATGAACTCATCTCTAGGCAAAATGATAACTATTGAAGACACAGAATAAGACGAGATTTTAGGGCTGAGGTGGGTCCAGGTGGGTCCACGTGCCTGTGTGGACCAGTTCTAGTTCCCTTTCTCATTCTCATTTTGAAGATGAGAATCTTCTAGCCCTCTTGTAAGGAGGCTGCGGAGTAAAGTGAAGTCCTGGGTGGGCTGTATTCCTGAAAGGCTGATGTCTAAGGGGTGCTGCTTACTGGCTTGGTTCTCAAGGCTTGCTCATTCTGCTTTCTTATAGAGCCCAGGACCACCAACCCAAGGACGGCATCGCCCATAATGGGCTGGGTCTTTCCCCAACAATCATTAATTAAGTAAATGCCCTCCAGGCTTGCCTCCAGTCTGATCTCATGGAGGCATTTTCTTACTTGAGGATCTCTCCTCTCAGATGACTTTAGCTTGTGTCAAGCTGATATAAAATCATCCAGCACAGATGGGCTGCTGGGTGGCCTCTTGCTGTGGAAGACAACACTTCTTAAATATCTTTTCAACAGAGGCACAATTGCCTTTTTTGGTTCCTGAACACCTTTCCAAGGATTTATGTATCATGGGAAGCCTTGAACACACAGTGTTTTCCCCAGACAGAGGACAACTTTGCTTCCTGCCACACACTGAAAACAATGCTTCCTTCTGCAGCAAAGGTCAGGACACCTTGCTTCCTGCCTCTTCTGAAAGACTAATTGATTTGGCTGTGTATGACCACACAGCAGCTTTCCTCTGGGACTCTCAGAGTAGCTATTATGGGCAAGGGGAAACTAGCCCAAACAGGATGCTCATGCTATTGCTGTGTTATGAGTCTTAGTTTTTTGTTTTTGTTTGTTTTTATTTTTAGCTCTGACCCAATAATCTAGTATCTTCTGTAAGCATCCATTAAATTGTGCAGGGTAATTTGGAAACAGATAAAGGTTTTAGATACTTTACAGTGATCAACATACTGGCCTTTAAAGCTCTCAGATACTGAAAATAAAGTCTAATTCTAGTATGTGTTTCATAGTCACAGATTTTAAAAGAATCCATTATATTCGAATCTGCTCCAGCTGTCACCTTGACACAGTCCAGGAGAAACATTTGTGTGTGTGACATCTCAGTTCCCATTTTCCAACACTAGAAACACCTCTAGGATTACAGAAGTTTTCTTTGTATCTAAGCAAGGTTGTAACTTTTCCTTGTTTTTAATTTTTAATTTTTAGTTTTTAGAGACAGGGTTTCTCTGTGTAACCCTGGCTGTTCTGGAGCTTGTTCTGTAGACCAGGGTAGTATTGAACTCAAGATCTATCTGCCTTTGTCTCTGGAGTGCTGGGATTAAAGAAATGCACAATCGTTGTAAACATTTTTTTTTTAAATTTTAAAATTAAATTCATTTGTAATATGTATTTCTATTGCAATTATTAATGGCATTGCCTTTCTGGGTGTGGTGGCACACTGGAGACTGAGGCAAAAGAATCAGGAATTCAAGCCTGACTGTACTACATCGTGATAATACCTTGTCTCCAGAGGAGAAAAAGGATCACTCATATTTTATCTTTTCCCTTTTGTTAGAAATAGCTTTTAAAGGCTAGAGAGATGGCCTAGTAGTTACTAATGTTGGCTGCTCTTGCAGAGGAGCTGTATTTGATTCCCAACACCTACATAGAGTGGGTTGCATCTTCCTGAAACTCCAGTCCCAAGGGATCTGACACTCTCCTCTGGCCTCTGGGAGCATTTGGACACATGTGATTCATACATATATACACTCTCACTTACACATACACATAAATAAATAAAAAAACAAAGACAAAGGGTTCATAATTTAAAAAATAGAAATAGTTTTTAAGACCTTATATAAACATATTTGTTCACACCAAAAATATTTTGCTTACATAAAATTACAAAGGGGGAAAAAGACAGTGTGGCAATACATGCCTGGGGCCCCAGCTGCTTTGGGAAGCCGAGTATAGTAGTATCTAATTAAATACTTAAACTGATCCTGGGTCGTTCCTTGCTATCTGCCCTGTTCTGGGTTCTCAAATGAAAGACACACACATAGATTTTATATTTTGATATGTCTAAAACAGCTCAATGGCTGGGTCATTTCCTAACCTCCATGTGGCTAATCCACCTCCCTCTGATAATCCTGAGTTATTATTTATTAAATCCTATAATTTCATCTTTGCTGCCCTGGACCCAGTTGGACAGCATTCCCCTCCACTTACATGGGCTACAGCCTCTGTCTGCCCTGCCCAGCCATTGGCTGCTGGCATCTTTATTTACCAATCAGAACCAACTGGGGGCAGGGACCCTTGATGTCTTATGTGTGGATGTGTGGATTCCCATGCAAACAATTTTGGGGGATTCAAATTAACATAAGAATAGAAACACCCACAGCTGAAGTGAAAGACCATTTGAAGCTCCAACGTATAAGATCAGTTCATGCAATATGGCAAGGAACTTATTCAAAACAAACAAAAATAAAACAAACAAACAAACACCACTTAAAATTTACATAGTTTGGAGAACTGTTTGAGAAGGGCTAGGAGGTGTGGCTTATTGGAGGAGGTTTGTCTGTCATAGTTTGAGGTTTCAAAGGTTTCCCAGTGTGCTTGTCTGGCTCCTGCCTGTGGATTAAGATGTGAGCTCTCAGCTGTTCCTGACTCCATGCTTTCTCTTTGTTGTCAGGAGCCATTTTGCCTGCTTCTGTAAAAGCCTGTCTGTCAGGCAGAGTCAAGTCAGGCCAGAGTCTACTGGTGGATTTCCTGGCCTGCTGACACATGGACTGGTAAGAGGGGATACACTTGATGCTCAAGGTGAGGGGCTGAATGTTCTGTTGATCTTGGAGGATGAAACAGGGAGAAGAGGAAGGACTCCAGGTGGGTACAGATATTGAATGTATGTCAGCCATTGTCTCTGCTGGCTTGTAACTTTGCTTCCCTCAATACTATAAAGTACATAAAGCCTAAGAGAATTAAACTCGAGGCTGCTGCAGTACTGATTGGTTTCTAGCCTTTGTCTCTGAGTCTTCCTTTCCATCTTTCCCATAATCCTAACTCCCCCTCAGAGGACTGCTTGACTTTGTACCAGCCAGACCGGTACACTTTGTCACCATGGACTCTAATTCTCTGAAACCATAGCCCAAATTAAATGTTTTTCTTTATAAGTTGCCTTAGGCATGGTGTTCTTTCACAGCAACAGAAAGATAAGACAGACATGTACAAACCCAGGACTGCTAGCTTGGTCATTATCATTTTTCATCACACACACACATCATGTTTTCTCACTTAAAATGTGTACACAGGATAGTCTGAGTTACTTCAGAACTTAATTTACTCGGTTATTTGAAATCTCTAGTTTGTTTCATTTCTATCATACGTGTAACAAAAAGCATACCAACCTCTCCTACTGACAACTTTTCTCTCACGTTTTTCCAGTAAATGTCTTTATTTTCAGTGTTAGTGAAGAAAAGTAGCCACTCTGCAAAGTCTTCTTTCCTCATGAAATTCAGACCTTTAGAAAACTGAAGGAATTCCATTTCTTGAACTTCTGTTTGTAAATTTTCCATAAATCTAAATATTAAAATAAGAAATTGGTATAAACAGCTAGTGGCATTTCATCTTAACATTGTAAGTGGGTCTGCAAGTCAGCTCCTCCTGCACTGAGTGGCTGGCCTCTGCAGCTAGCAGAAGGGCTGTGGGAGAGAGAGAAGCTGGCCAAATCCAGTTCCTGTCCACTCTGTCCAGCGTGTTTGTACAGATCACATCTGGCAACCAAAGCTGTAATCAGTGTGAGTAAAATTATACAAAATGTTGCTTTAATAGAACCACAGAGAATAACATCTTATAGAAAGTATATTTTTTCCAATGTAGCAGTATTATCTGTAACTGAGAAAATTAAAATTTAGGAGAGAACACTGCTTTTAGAATCTTAATAATTAATGGTTCCTACTGTTTTATAGACGCCAAAATAGAAACAATGACTTTGAATGGCAAGCCTACAACTACATGACATTGTAGTCCTTTGGGCAACAATGTGAAATCTACAGTTTCAACATTCCCATCCACCTTTTAAAAATAAAGACAGCATAGTCCCTTGACCAAAGTCACAGCAATGGCTCTGTGGGAAGGTACAAGTTGAACAGACATAAGGCTGACTTTGACTTTCTTGAATTAGAATCTAGAAAGGTCGCACTAGGGTTTACTACCCAAGTCATGTGGAAGCATTATGGGAATCCTAAGTTTTCATGTGCTTCAATCTCCTTTAAATACATATATTTAAAATTAAAAATAATTTTATTTTTGTGTGTGTTATACCACAATTTAAAAAGAGCGGATATATATACATGGTTTTCTCCTACTGGAGAAAACCAGCATTGCTATTAGCTTGCTTTAGGATCTGTACTTTCCCCATACAATTCAGAAGTACTGAGGGGTGAATGGGTGAAAGCTTCTGTTTCTGTAAGGAGCCTGTTACCTACAACACTGACTTAATGTACGGATGCACAGATTTTTCTGATGTTGTTTCTTTCTGAGTCAAAGCAGAATTTTGAATTTTGTCTAACACTTGATGCATTTTGGGTTGAATTAATAGTGGAAAGAGAGATTTTACTGATATATTTTGCCTTTTGTTTGATTGTGTTTTATTGCATTGTGTACTATGATAATAATAATAATGATTTTTTTGGGTGCTGTATGTACATGTGTGTGTGTTAGTAACTGTATTGGTGCATGTGTGTTAGTCTGTGTGTATGGGTGCATGTGTGTTAGTCTGTGTATGGGTGCATGTGTGTTAGTCTGTGTGTATGGGTACATGTGTGTTAGTCTGTGTGTGGGTGCATGTGTGTTAGTCTGTGTGTATGAGTGTATGTGTGTTAGTCTGTGTATGGGTGCATGTGTGTTAGTCTGTGTATGGGTGCATGTGTGTTAGTTCATGTGTGGGAGTATGTGTGTATGTCAGTATGTGTGGGTACATGTGTGTTAGTGATTGTGTATGGGTGTGTGTTAGTGTGTGTCTACCTCAATCTCTTTTCCATCTTATTTTCTGAGTCAGTGTGTTACTGCAGATTCTGTGGGTTTGGTTGGCAGCATGTCCTGGGATCCTTCTGAGTCTGCCCTCAGCACTGGAGTTATAGGAATGTGCTGCCATGTCTGCTTTTACACATGGCTGCTGGTGAGCAAACTCAGGTCCTCAAGTGTATAGAGCAAACATTTAGCCGAATGAGCCATCTCCTCCGCCTCTCAACCAATTCATACTAGGATTATCAAAGGATGTTTTCTGTGTAAACGAATATGTAGCAAATAAAGAGGCTGGCACAACAACAATCTGTACTGTTCTTTTCACCTCTGTCCTCCAAAATGTTAGAAGGTGGGAGGTTGGTAGGCTGACTAAGAGAGTGCAGCAGGAGTAAAGAACTTGCAGGGCAGCTGCAATGCTGGAGGAGAAGAAGAACCAGAGATCAGGAGAAGGGAATTAGTAGTATTTGGTGACCAACTGGACAGAGAATGAGAGAGAAATCAGAGCTAATGCTTTATTCTGAATGGCATTGGTTACAGCATGCTTCTGCTCACTGGGGGCAGTTATGGAAGGGAAGAATACATATCTCTCCTTGCACCTGAGGGCCTTTTAAAGAAAATCATCTGGAAAACATACATGAGATCCCAAATACCTTCCTGGGCTGCACGCCTTCAGCTGTGCCTTTCTTTTCTGTCTCCTCTCGGCTTCTCACCTGGGGTAAAATCAGTAAGTACTCACCTCCTCACTGACAGAAGCACTCTGAACAATGCAGCTGGGTGCGTGCATGTTTATCACACAGCTTGCAAAAAACACTTTGTGTCTGAGACACGGTCTGACATACAACAGCACATATGTGTACAAATACTTAGCAAATCTTAGCAAAAATGCAGTGAGCTGAGGAAGGTGCAGGTCCTCTGCCTTCCAAGTCCATATTTTCCTGCTCATTTGGTCTTCTTTTTAGTACCTGTTTTAAGACTGTTTAACAGAGTGCTTCAGGGAGGCACTCTCTTGTAATCTCAGGGAGGAGAGGGCTCCACTATGTTAGTATCTACAATAATTAGATAACCTATGTATTACTGGCCCAATTTTATAAAGAAATGAGTTGAGGGAGATTAAATGAACTGCTTAAGGTCAGTGTTATCATCAGGCTTTACCTGAGACATGGAGCTGTCTGCTTCCCTGTGTACTGTTCTGGTGCTTTCGCAGTATGGCTGTTGGGATGTGTATTTTACTGCTGGGCCTCTGCACACCAGAGCTGAGTCCCCACATCTCAGATCAGTTTCAATGCAGAGTAGATCCAGCTGAGATTAGCCAGGGCTGGCCCCAGCAGAGCTGTGCTCAGGGATACAGTGCATGACTCTTATTGGGCTGGTTTGTTCTGTATTAAGAACAATGTGGCAGGGTGGTGGTGGTGGTGACACACATCTTTAATCCCAGCACTTGGGTAGGAGGCAGAGGCAGTGCTCTGTGAGTTCAAGGCAAGCCTGGTCTACAGAGTGAGTTCTAGAACTGCCAGGGCTACACAAAGAAATCCTGTCTCAAAAAAACCAACCAACCAACCAACCAACCAACCAACCAACCCACCCACCACCCACCCCAAAATGAAACTAGGGCATGTCTCTTAGTTGCTAGTATCAAATTACCAAAAGGAATCATTGTATTTTATAAATTATGCATTATATTCTAAAATAGGCTAGAATATTTTGAGAATAGGAACTTTGTTTTATAGGTTAAGTTCTTTTTTTTTTTTTTGTTTGTTTTTTTTTTTTAAAAGATTTATTTATTTATTATATATGAATACACTGTAGCTGTCTTCAGACACACCAGAAGAGGGCATCAGATCCCATTACAGATGGTTGTGAGCCACCATGTGGTTGCTGGGATTTGAACTCAGGACCTCTGGAAGTGCAGTCAGTGCTCTTAACCACTGAGCCATCTCTCCAGCCCCCATAGGTTAAGTTCTTAATGATAAATGGCTTAAAGCTCCAATAAACACTATCCAGGTTTTCAGCACTGGTTCTCTTTTTTATTTTTTTATTTTATTTATTTATTTTTATTTTTTATTTGAGACAGGGTCTCTCTGCATAGCCCTGACTGTCCTGGAACTCACTCTGTAGAGCAGGCTAGCCTCAAACTCTCAAACTCAGAAATCTGCCTGCCTCTGCCTCCCAAGTGCTTAAAGTGGATTAAAGGCGTGTGCCACCACTGCCCGGCTTCAGCACTGGTTCTCAGCCTTCCTAATGCTGTGACCTTCTTACTACAGCTCCTCACATTGTGGTGACCTTCCCCCCAACCATAGAATTAATTTCATTGCTACTTCATAACTGTAATTTTGCTCCTGTTATGAATCATAATGTCAATATTTTTGGAGCTAGGTTTACCAAAAGGTTGTCACAGGTTCAGAACAGCTGGATTACAGTCTGCAGGTCTGGGAAATAAGTGTATATTCAATTTCTTCAATTTTTACATATAAAAATTTCCCAAATAAATATCTTTATGTTTACCTTCGAAATTCTTTATAATGAAGTTTTTTTTCTCCTCTTTTTCCAAAGAAACGCACTTGAAGGGTTGTGTTTACTCCAGGCTCTTTCACTGTTGGTTCCTATTAAAAAAAAAAAAAACAAAACGACAAAACGGAACCTGTGGGTGGGGGCGTGGAGAAACAGCCACAAGTGTGTCCTGTAGGACAAGATGGGAAAGAGGGCAGTCTATTTGCTTATTATTTTTGCCTAACAGGACACCTTCCCTCTCTCTCTTTTCCACTTATTATCCTTGGACACTAAGTCCCAAAGAAACTGGGAAGAGAAAGAACATGCCTAACAGGAAAAACCCATAGCAAACATACTAAATGGGTAAAAAAATAAAAAGTCTAGAAAGAGTCAAGGGTGCCCACCCTGTCTCCCTCATTCAGGACAGCTTGGATTACAGGTGTAATTGGATTACACTTCACCTGGCTTTATGGAGTAAAGCCTTCCGATGCTTCTTGAAATGCTTTTGATACAGTTGCCCAGAGGCTTGCTCTGCAGCCCCACAGCACACTGGTCTGGAGTCTAATGCCTAACGCTCCTTCTATCCATAACCCTGTCCTTGTGGCATCTCTGCTGACTTCTCCCTGAACTCAGTGGCCGTTCAGACAGGGTTATTATTGAACTCTGTCAGTACTTCAGAAAACTTTTCTCCAGAACCCACCTGTTTAAGATGGGGGTTGTCTGACTCAGGCAAGCAAAGCCTGCAGGGAGTTCTCTGGCGCCTCTTAGCAAAGGTCTGTATGTGCCCAGTGCCCACATAGATACCATCATCCGTGAAAATGTCTTTATTCTCTCTTTTACTCAGTTTGGTTATGAACTAGAAATTTTTAATTTTTAGATTCAAATTTCCATAGTGCTAAGGTTCTACAGACCTAATGACGCTAAGGGTATCTGCCTCAGGATTACAGAGGCAATCAACTAAATAGCCAAATGTTCTCAAATTTAAGCTAAGAAGAAAACTCTTTTATTCCAAAATTAGATAATATTTACTGATGAGCTACTTAGTAGTAGCTATTATGATTGTCCCAGGAATCTGAAATAATAATTCAACTTTATAAAAATGTGCTTGTTACTAATTTTGAAGTCTGTAAGCTGTCTATGTTTTTAGACAGAGTGTTATACTTTGACATTTCCTTCAGTATAGCTTCTATTTTTGACATTTACCAAATATCAGACCAAATGTAAAAGCATAAATAATAAGTTTATGGTAGCCAAAATATTTTTTATTAATTCTTTGAGAATTTTTTTTCTTTTCTTCCCTACTTTCCAAGACAGAGTTTGTCTGAGTAACAGCCCTGGTTGTCCTGGAAGCTGCTTTGTAGACCAGGCTGGCCTTGAATTCAGAGACTATCTGCCTCTCTGCTCCTGAGTGCTGGGACTAAAGGTTTCTGTCACCACACCTGGCTTGAGAATTTCATGCCATGTATTTTGATCATATTTGCTAACTCCTCTCTTGACACCCTGGTAATTGTTTTCTAATAGACCGAGATTTAAATCAGGCTGATTTAAGTCAGGCTGGCTCCACATCTGCTTAGAGTCTCTGATTTCACTTTACAAGTCTACTTTAGCTTTTGCTCTTTTGAGAGAGGGTTTCCTGTAGTGAAGTAACCTCCGTGATGTGGCAGTGTACACTATGCCTGCTTTCTGTGGGGCTGCGGACTGAAGCCAGGGTTCTGGGCATGCTCTGTAAGTCCCACCACTGAGCTGCATTTTTAGTCTCCTTGCTCATTTTCTTTTTTTTAAAGATCTGTTTATGTATATGGGTGTTCTGAATACATGTATGTACACCAGAAGAGGGTACTGACTCTCATAGGCCTACAGTTATGTTTATAAGCCGTCATGTGGGTGCTGGGAATTGAACTCAGGACTCTGGAAGAGCAGCCAGTGCTTTTAACTACTGAGCTATCGCTCAAGTGTCCCTTCCCCTGCCCCAGAGCCACCCTTGAGGTAAGGTCTTGCATTGAAAATTTACCAAAACTGGCCTTGAACTTACAAATCTACTCCAGAGTCCTGAATTCTGAGATTTCTGGAGTGTAGCACTATTTTAATAATTTAAATATATTTTGTTGTAAGCAAAGAGTTATTTCTAAGTTTCCACTCCTGTTTCAAGGAGTTTCTTATTCGTGTATTAACACATATCTGCCTTTTGGTATGTGTGGTGTATGCATGTGTACATGCACATTCCATGTGTGGACACAGGTGTATTTGCTGTGCATGCATGGAAGCTCAAGCCTGATGCAGGAAGGAAATCCTTTTTGATTACTCTCCACTGCACTGAGGCAGGGTCTCTCTCTATCTGGGCCTTGAGCTGTCAGAACCCCTGTATCTGCAAATCTTTGATCACCGAGGCCCCTCCAGGCCCAGCATCTATATAAGTTCAGTTCTTAGAGTTGCATACAAGTGCTTTAGGCACTGAGCTATTTCCCCAGCTCTTAATTATTGTTATTTTTTAACAGTGTGTGTGTGTGTGTGTGTTGTGTGTGTGTGTGACCCTAGTTGTCATATGTCAGGATATGGTCCACTTATTTGGAAACAAGGTCTCTCACTGGCCCAGAGTTTACCAACTAGGTTAGATTAGCTTGCCAGAGAACCCCAAGGATACTCCTGTCTGCCTTCCCTTGCTGGGATTACAAGCATGCACTACGGAGTCTAGCCTCTATAAGGGTTCTGGGAACTGAGTTCATGTCCTTGGGCTTCTAATGCAAATGCTTTACCAAATGAGCAATCCTCCAGCCTGAACTAACTTAATTAAAACAAAAATTTCTTCTTAAAAAGACAACTTTGGTATCAGATACTAAATTCTCTTCCATGGACTGGAGAGATGGCTCAGAGGTTAAGAGCACTGGCTCCTCTTCCAGAGGTTCTGAGTTAATTTCCCAACAACCACATGGTGGCTCACAACCACTGGGATCTGATTCCCAATTCTGGCATGCAGGCATACATGCATGCAGAACCCTGTATAGGTAATAAATAATTTAAAAATTCCTCCTCCATTTCGCTGTCTAGACACAATGCATCACATGCTGCCAATGGAGGGGAGGTGTTTTGGTTTTTGAGAGGATTTCATTATCTAACCTTGGCTGGCCTAGAACTTGCTTTGTAGACCAGGCTGGCCTTGAACCCACAGAGATCCACCTGCCTTTGCTTCCTCCTGAGTGCTTCTGACAGAGGCTGTGATTTTTAATAATGTATACAATTTGAAATTGATATGTTCTAAAGATGGAGTGATTCAAAAGTTTAAGAAAGTCTCACAAGATGAAGTTACAATTAATAGAATGTTGTCAGTTGAGATCTATTGGTATACACAACTGGTAGGACTGAAAACTCATTTTTGTCCCATATAACATACTGGTTAATATTTGTCACAGTCTGATAACCTTATCAATAGTCACACTCTTTGATCCAACAATTTGAATTTCTGGTATGTCATCACTAAAATATAGTCATATGTGTATAAAATAGTGTAATCCTAGTGTTATTCCTTGTATCCTTATGAACTATGAAATGATAGATATGTTAAATATTTCCCAAAAGATGAATGACAGTATAAATATTACAGCCATCCAACAATGTACTCTGAAGCCACAATGAGCATGAGATTGTGAGCTAGGGAGCTGGCTTGGTGTGTAAAGCACTTACCACACAAGTGTGAGGGCCTGAGCTTAAATTCTCAGAACCTACAGTCAGAAGCAGCAGTAGCACCTGTTTGTAATCTCAGTGCTCAGAGTGGAGGTGGGAGCTGGAGACAGGAGATCCTAACCAAGGCCAGCAGGGATAGACACCTGAAGTTGTATCTGATCTCCACACCTGTGCTGTGTGTACACACACCCCCTCCCCTACTGCCACACAAATTAAGAATGTAGTCTTTAGATATACTATGAAAATGATAAATGTGGAACAATACACAGTATACTATTGCTTATACAAAAACAAAAATCAAACTATGTGGCTGTGACACAGCTGTAACCCTTGCGCTAGGGAGGCTGACAGGATTGCTACAAGTTCAAGATTGGCCTGAACTACAGAGTGAGACCTTGTCTCAAAGAAAAACAAAAGAAAACAGACCTCCACATATCCATAGGAACAGCAAAGCACTCACGGCCCAGGGGCTGGGGTGGGAGTGGGGCACTGGCAGGACATCTGCTTATGCCTTTGTAGCTTAGTAGGTTGTGTGCCGAGGCACCAAATTCTTCATAAATCTCACAATGACCCGGGAAGATGACAGCTATTACCCTCGAAACCTTGGAAACCTTTACTTACATACCTGGTATTCTGTCTCATTGGTCTTAACTGTCTTGAAGCCATCTTGCTTACTTATGATCTTCTGGAGCTGAAAAGATTACAGACACAACTTTACAAGTCTGTTTAATGGGGTTTTCAAAATAACCCGAGAACGGATGCTAGGCTGTAATCACAGGACACTGGCCTCTTGTCTATGGGCTGACTGGCTGTGTAAGACTATAGGGAGAGACGGAAAGGCTGCAGTGGCCAGAGTCTCCTGCTCAGGAGCAGCTTCTCACAGACAGGCTCTACATCTGCAAGGCTTTGTGCCTCGTCTTCCTCTCAGTGATTTTTAATTCAGGCTTGTTTCTTATACCACTGAGAGTTTACAGCAACAATGCAAAATACATACTGCACACAAGGCTTTTCTGTAAACACCCTTCCTTTTATCTGTAACACAATGACTTACATTTTTGTTAATTATAAAACTATAACAGTTTCTTAAAACTGAGTATGTTAAATAACCTACCTACCTTTCAGAGTCATTTGTACCAGTCTTCAGATGGAAAGCAAATTAAAAGAAAAGGATTTTTAAAAAATGAGATGTGTACAAAATCTCAAACTGTGGCTTAAGTCAATTAGGAAACAAATCATCAGGACTTATTCTATGTGATTTGTTAGTAATTTACAAACTGCTGACATTAAGTCACTATTATCAATCTATACTTGGCACCTCCTTCTATGTTTGTCTAGGCAAAGGGCACATGGGGCTTCTCTAAACCCCTCCCTCCCTCCCCGGCCCCCGCCCCGGGGCCCGGGGGGGGCCGGCGTCGCCGGCC